CAAAAAAAAAACACGGGTTCCCAACGGTGCATTATAGATGGTTCCAAAGAAAGGAATGTTGGTGAATGAATTTGTGGGGTGTCCGTCGGGCGAGAACGATAGAAAGACACAGCTAGGTAGATAGCTAGATAGAGAGATAACCCGGTAGATGGCAGCCAACGCTGGAGATCGCAGCAATAGTGGTATTTCGGGTGCCTCAGCGGTGCAAGACGTCTCGAATGCGGAAAAAATGTTGAGCTTGAAACGAAAGCGCATATAGCTGTGAATACATGCACGATCATGCTTGTCAGTGATGCTACATCGGAAGTGTCTCAACATCATCCCATGCATACATAAATATCTATGAGTTTAGTTAGTTATTAACATTTGTGTTTATATACTTACTTGCCTGTTTATATCTATACGTGTACACAAGCACGTCCCATCGTAGGGGGACTTTGAGCCTCATCCTTCGAATTCTGGGGACGGTGTTTGGGATCATATCTCCTGGGTATTGCCGGAAGGATGGTAAGGAAGTTCAGCACAATGCATGAAGAACCAAAGAAACCTAGTACCTTTCGTGAACCTGTTGGGAACTTGGGCATAGCAAGTAGTAGAAGGCCTCATGCATCATCAGGCAAGAGGTTGGGATCCTCAGGGAGAATTTTTGATAAAATGCTGCACCACATGCCAGAGACCTTGCAAGCCCTGATCCGGAAGCCACAGACTTTCGGCAAAGTCCTGGCCTGCCGTTCAGGGTCACGCACTGTCTGGGTCGACGCATCCCTGACATTCAAGCCTGAATCTCAGGAACTGCTGCAAGACCACGTTTGGGGATGCGGTGCGGGGGGGCAGGCGTGTCAGAATCCCCTGCGAGGGCTGGGGTCTCCATAGATTGTGGCCATTCTCTTTGTCCACACTGACTGCTAGGGACTTCTTTCTTGTTGGCTTACTGTAGTTGGCTTTCTGTCGAGGGCTGGCGCATCCAAGCTGTGGGATTTCAGGTCAAGCGCCACTTTCGTCACCGGATTAAGCTGCCAGAGAAGCCTCTCTAAGCATTTGAAGGAGCAGGTTGAATTGAGGAATACAGGTCATGTTGGAGTCTGCTGGTGCCCGTGCAACTGAACCTCCACTCTCCAGCACTGGCTTTCTTGAGGTGCAGGGGCTAGGGTAGCAGACCGTTGAGGTGTGGGGAATTACTTCTGGCTTGGGTGTGCAGTGACGGCTGTTTAAGACTCCCACCAACACACTCCTCTGACAGAAGCAAGCCCCAGCCCCTAAGCCCCCGCCGTCGATCTGAACTGCAAACCTTACACCCACTCCAACCGCTACCCCTACGCCCCAGCTTCAATCCCACACCCTGAAACCCCCAAAGCCCGCAACGCCCGCACCGTGGGAGCCAAGGCTTGGGCGTTTGGCTTTGGCAGCTTCAACCGCACTCTGCACCTGTCGACCATATGTTATTGAGTTCGAAAGCCCTTTGGGGGCTTTCCAGGGCTATACAAAGCAAGTCATGTAGCATGTCGTGAGCCCCGTCCTGCACCTACTGCCCGCGCTTACTTCATAAGATATTAGAAGCTCCTCTGCGGGGCCTTGAGAAAGCTACTGCTCATTCTTGGGGAACCATTTGCCATGAAGCAAAAGGCCAGGTGTTTGAAGTCCTGCAGCTGCAGAACTCAATTTACCATTAGACTAAATTAGAGTCATCAGACTGTTGTTGAACGACAGCTTCCAAAGCCAAAACCTATGGCTCCTCTGGTTGCTTGTCTTCCTGTCTACAGTATAGGAGCTACACTGCGGCTAGAGCAGCTACAACTCCGTTCTGTATACTTTATGAACCCCCCCAACCTTCCTCAAAAGCCAAAAAGCTGGCAGTACCCGCATACCCACCTGCACTTTGGTGCGAGCTGCCGCCAAGGCCTTCTGCGCCCCCTGCAAGTAAACATTCATCAAGTCGGACTAAAGCGGAAATTGTAAAGGCTGCCAGAGGATATCTTCCTCAAAACGGGAGGCTGTGAGAGTAGGGTTTAAGGTTCGAGGATTCTGCTCAGGCTTTAGCATCTAGAGATCAATGCTTAGGGCCGAAGCTTGCTGTTTGCATGCCTCCGCTATTGGCCACCATATCAGGTATAATTTCAACCATCGCGCGCTTCTGCATCGAATGCTTTGCGGCATTATTCGTGTGTGTTGCAGGATTTGGGAACTGTTCATTACAACATGAACGACTTTCACATGAAGGGCTCGGGAGTACAGTAAGACCTTGAGGATTCTGCACTGCGGGACAAATCATGTGGCGCAGCTCAGAAGCGTGTTACGCACAGTGCATTTGAACGAATCAATGTCCAGCATCGAATGGCATGGATTTTTTGAGACCCAGCCCACTCACAGCAACGACCAAACCAAGACCTCACAACCTTGACGACAACCCATAACCCGCCCAAAACATCATCTCAATCACAATCCTAAGTTTAGCGGGACGCCTGTCAACTTACCCTATGCCTCAGCTTTCCCTGTTTCTGACTGATCCCCCATCCAACATGCACCGGCCCGAACCCTCATGTTTAAAAAGCCAAACCCACAGCCCCTACCAGCCCAGCGTGAAGCTTAAGAGAGCCCATGCATCATTCCTACACCTGCAGTAACCCCAGAAAGGAATTTTGATTTGGAGCCTGCATGTTGAAAGTGATGCGCCCCGGCTCTTTCTTGGGCGCACGTGGCTTCAGCAGCGCCAGAGGGTCCTCCTCCTCCTGTTCCTGGCGTTGGGCTGAGAACTATGAAGCCATTGAGGCCTGGACACAGCAGAGGATTGGGGCTTTGCTGGATTCCGGGTCCGAATAAAAGTTCAGAGTCTGAACGTCTCTTGGGTCAATGGCATAGGCCGGAAGTTCTTCATTTTATGGTGCGGGGCTTTTGAGTTTAGGCCTTGGGGGTCTGTGCGCTTAGTTCCAGAACGCCCCGTGGAGTGTCTGGGATTGGCCTTGCGATTTACAGGCAGGACTTCGACGCTCCGTCTAGTCTGCTGCTGAATTATGCCCAACTAATTAACTAATTGTGAGTGGTCCTTATGGTCT